CAGGGCAGTGCAAGATGCTGTCCGCGGTGCTGAACCCGGCCCGCCTCCGGGCTTCGTCACCCTTCGCTCCGCGGGTTGCACCGGGCCGCCCAGCCCCGGGGCCGGCTCATGTCCCAGAGGGCTCCGAAGGACAAGGGGGACATTTCAGAGGCAGCCGAATTGTAGCTGAAAACTGGACAGGGTGGGGGGAGAAGAAGTGGGCTTTAAGGGGGGAAAAGGCTCTTCCCACTCCCATGTTACTCCAGCAGTGGTGACAAGGCTGGGCACAGGAGAACAAGCTGAGCAGAGTAAGTCCAGACTGAGCCTTCCCCGTGAAGAGTGGGTGCATGTATCCCCATATGCAGGTCACAGGCATGGCACAAACAACAAATGGCACAAGGTCTCCTACTCCAGCTACATGTGGACAGGTAGGTGAAAGCCCTAGGACTTGAGATGAATGTTTAAGGCACTGGTCACAAATACTGGCAGAGCAGGGACATCAGGCTCCTATGTCATAGAATCATAGAAGAGAATCATAGAATAGTTTGAGTTGGAAGTCATCTAGTCCAACCTCCCTGCAGTAAGCAGGGACATCTTCCACTAGATCAGGTTGACCAGAGCCCCATCCAACCTGACCTTGAATGTTTCCAGGGACGGGGCATCTACCACCTTCCTGGGTAACCTGTTCCAGTGTTTCACCACCCTAAGCATAAAATATTTCTTCCTTATATCTGTGTTTATGCTCTAGTGTCAGAGTCCCATCTTTACATTTGTTCAGCTCTAAGAATAATGATCCTGCATATGAGTTGAGGTTTCTCTGTAGTGCCACGCTGGACTCATCAACCAGTGTGATAGTTAAAGCAGCACAGGCAGAGCTTACAGCACAGCTTTGCAGCCCACTACAAAACCAGCACAGAGAGCCCTGGCTCTCCAGGTGTTGACATGTCCTTGCTCAGACAGTGTACACTCCAACACCACCTGGAATTCATGCTTGGGGCAGGCCCAGGGAGGCCTCAGCCATGGTGTCATGTTGTAAGTCAGCTCTGCTGAAACACCCCAGAGTCCTGCTTTCAGCACTTTTGGGAATGACTAGGAGAGCAGGAGGAGAGGTGTCAGGCTGGGTGGTACAGGTTAAAGGGCTATACAGCTGGAGCACAGTGTGTCATCTTTCCCCATGGGGACAGGCAGCTTCTCCCTGCGGAATGTGGGGAACTCCCACCCCAAGAATAGGCTCACCCCATCTTGTGCAGACCTTGGAGTGGGTGCTTTAAAAGGCCATGGCTGATCACCACAAACAACCTGCCCATTTTTTATCTGTTCCCATTGTGAATATCTTCACCCTTTATGAGCACAGTGCTATTCATTTAAGATGGATGCGGCATTAATATTTCTGTTTATTTAGGTTAGTTTAAATGGTTACATTTGAATATGAAAAAAGTCTTTTCTGCCAAGTGCTGGAATGGTTTGAAGCAGCGAAGAAGCAAGCTTTAAAAGAATGCGGAGTCTTCTTGTGCTTAATCCCTCTTCCAACAATTTCTCCATCCTTTGGGGAATAAAGCATCCCTACCCCAAGGCTGCTGTCATATCTAGGCATCTTAAGACACCCAGAGGAGGTCATCTCCCTGTGTAACCTGTGCTGACAACTCCCTCCTCCATCACCATCACTGACCTTGGCCAAGGTCACTGCAAAGGAAGAGGGCCTCATGAGAGGGCTTCTTTGGTCATCTGAAATAGAGCTGGAAATGCTGACATAAAATGTGTTTATAATGGGATAGAAGAGAGGAAGGTTACTTAAAAGAGTAGCTTGAGATAGGTTAGTCAGAGGAGCATACAAAGATGTACGGAGTATGTAAATGTAGAGCAATCAAGTCTTTGCTGTACATCTCTAGGTGATTACACACATCAAGAGCTTTGTTGTGTGGTGGGTTATTTTGGTTTTGATTCTTTTGGGGTTTTTTTGTTTTGGTTCTTTTGGGGGTTTTGGTTTTTGTTGTTTTTTGTTTTTTGTATCAGCTTCATGATCTTGTCTGGATGAGTGATACTGAACCAGTGCAAGAGAGCCTTTTTTGAGTTGGAACCACCACAAATGGGCTTTCCCTGTGACCTGAGTATTTAATTCTGATTGACCTGTGTACTATTTAAAATGCAGCCTATTTGTACCATTTAAAGCACATATGCAAAAACTTTTTTGTTCTGCAAGAAAAACTGCTTTCAGTATATTTCCTCTGCTTTTAAAACAGTGAGCATTTAACTTTTTCACATCTCTCAGTTTCGCTGAACAGCTGTGTTATGCTGCTTTGGCTGGAGTTATTGCTCATTTAAAACTGCATCAACGAACACAGAATCAGACGTGTGCCATCAATACTCTTTAACCATTCCACTTGCACATAAAAGACAACCATTAATCCTGGGTTCTCAATACCACTATAGATTTACTTCTGCTGTCACTCATAACAACAGCCAGAAGGAGAATAGCTTCGAAAGCTGTCTGAGGATTAGTTTGAAAGACTTCACCCTTGAGATGAAATTGTCTCTTTGTGGTACAGTTACCTTCTGGTTCCTATTATATTAAGAGAGAAAAATATGGGCTACTTTCACACTGAAAATACATGCCAAGCAGGCCTGAAAGATCTACAAAGACATTGTGATGAGAAAAGAAAGAAAAAAAGATACAGAGATAAAAAAGCTTACTTCAAAGCAGCAAAATGATACCATTTTGCATAAGTATATGTCTACTGAAAAAGGTTCCAGCTGATGTGCTTAGATTAATATTATTACCCACCATAAATATAATGGAAACAGCTGTAGTTTCTGTCTTCCTAAAGGAGGATGCCTACATTAAAGCTCCATTGATTTTCAAACTTTAAATACAAGAGCAGTGCTTTGGATATTCGAACAGGAACATGACTCCTGAATCATGTTAGTATCATGGTGCAGAATTGTTTCAATTCTTTCACTATATTTATACATGGCAATAAATCTTTGTTAATGAGGCTGCAGCATACTTGCTGTGTTTTCCACTAACATCTGTTCTTTGGATCAATGGCGACATCTCATTCTTAGGAAAAAAAAATATTTCATGAGAGAGGTGCATATGTGTAAAAGTAGAGGTACAAAGGGCCAAGCAGTAAATGTATACCCCCTGAAAGGTATAGAGTTTTGAAATCCATGGGAACCTTGCACAAATGTGATGGACTGAGGGGAGGATGACTCTGAAAGAAAGCAAGGTGGATTAGTCTGTTAGTCATTACCATGCTGCCCCTGGGACCAGAGTGGTAATGCAACATTACAGCTGCAGCAGACTATAGCTCTGCATGGTGGAGATCTCCTGTTAACCTTTGGCACAAGAGGTATGAAGGCTTTCCTCGTATTCCCAGAAATAAGGTGATTTTTTGCATTAGTGAGAAAATATAGATTAGTGTCTGAAGACTAAAAGAGTCAAGGGTCACCTGTAGGTGTCACTTCCTCTGCTAATCTGTACTAATTAAGATATATAACATAAGCATCATGCAATACACAGGAAGATAATGCACTGAGACTAGATGAAGAGTGGCATTTGCACATGAGAGCTTCTAGTCAGAAGCCAGAGATTAGCAAGCTACAGAGAATCTTCATTTTATCTTCTGGAGGGCATTGCAAAGGATCCCCATCTCACCTGCAAAATAAATAATCAGAGCAGTTAGCCCATTTCTACCACTCCTGTATGTGTTTATCCTTTATATCCATTCCTTGAAACAACAAAACAAACAAAGAAGTGCTGGACTGGGCACATTTATTAGGGTCTTACTGGAGTACAGCTTGCAGAGTCAGCACTTTGCCTTTATCAGCCATACGAGGATGGCTCACAGGACCAGAGGTGCTGGCTCTTAAAAGGCTGGCCAACGTTAGGGGGAAAACTTACCAGGAAAAAGGCTAGAATGGCAAAAGGAAATGTGATTAAAACCAAGTTTTTCCTTTTCTTCCTTAATGCGAACAGCTAGAGACACACATCACAAGGCCCTCTGGCCTTTGCTAGCACCTCCACTGAAACTGGATATTTCAGATGTAACAAACTACCGTCAAGCTTGGCTAGAACTAGGCAGCCATTTTTGCACCATAGAGGAGGTGTGTGCTGCTAGACCTTGGTCAGGCTCAGAGCATTAAATGCAACCAGACAAAATGTGCTTTGTGGTTGCTATTTCTGATCCAAGTTTTGAAAAATTCAAGGTAAGAAATCTGTAATTCCTTACTATTGATAGTGTCAGCTAAGTTCTTCAGCTGCTTTGCATTGTCCAAGACTTCAATCCTCTGGGTGTAGGGATTGTAGCGAACAGAGAAAGGACGAGGGATTGTTTGTGCAAATTTCCTGAGGCAAAAATACAAAAACACATGCAAACTTTAAAAGCTCATTTTCTCAATAACTCACTCTTTTCTTGGTGTGTGTGTTTGTCGATGAGAGGAATAAGAAAATCTGCGAGAGGAAATAACTGAAATTCCTGCTCAGTGGTCTGAGACCTACAGCATTCTGTAACATGCTTGAATCTGCATTTGTCCTTAACACCTTCGTTTTTTTCCAAGCAGGACTAATTATGCTACTGATATGGTAACACTGCTCCTGGTATAGGCCAGCTATGTAGCTATTGGGATTTTCCAAACTTCAAAACCTAATTTTCCTTTCAGTAATGCAAAGTCTTAGAATCCTAATCTGAGTCTGCAATTTCTGGGAAAGTACTGTCAAGTACCTACGTATGCCATTCTGGCATACCACAGAGTAACCAGAGGGCTAACCTCTTGCATGGTTGCTAGTGGCTTCCAGGTCATTGCAAAGATAGGAAATGGCCAATGGCAGCTTTCTTTCCACCCCTTACTCACAGCCTTCCCTGCTGCAAAATAGTTAATTCAATGTCATAAACATTAAGATTTTAGTATCTTGGGAAAACATTAATTTGCATAACCACAGAACTGTGGAAAGGAGGACTCTGAATGGGAGGAGATGGTCAGAACTATTGTTCCAGGCTCCTTGTAGACCCCAGCAGGATACTGGCTTATATATCTGTTTTGGATTACTGAAGTTATTGCTGAAAGAGGAAGGAAAGCACACAGGAGTTGATTATGGAGCCCCACTATACAGACTGTGACTCAACATGGTAAATCCCATATGTCCAGAACAGTGAAAAATGCCGGATGACACTTCCACGTTGCTCCTTCAGTTTAGTCCTAATTATTATCAGCTAAGGCCATTGTCTCAAACAGAGTTCAGTATGAGCATGCCACAAGGTGTAACAGTCGAAAAAAATTATGTTGGCTAGGTTGAAAGTTTTTAGCAGCATCAGTCCATTTTTTACAAGGGGAGAGATCCACATTAGAAGGCAGTCTTCCTAAAGCTCAGGTGAAGATAAGATCCTAATGAGAAGATTAATGCCTTAAGCTGAAATATTTTAGATCAGGCTCAGAATAATTTTTCAGGGAGGTCTTCCATTACACACAAATATACGTGTCCAGATGCAAGCCATGAACACAGGCACTGGACCAACTCCCAGCTCTCTACTTCAATTTAACCAGTTTTCTATTTGGTCATGGAAACAAATAAAAGAAGCTTCTAGATCATTTGTATACAGTAAAGCAGCATATTCCACTTTCTCAAGGAACTTGCTACTCAGTTAGAGAAGTATACAGAGAAGATAGAAACTGCATGCAGGATATTAATAGCACAAACCAGAAAAGAAGGACGTCTTTCTCAGGTATTACCCCAAAAAAAGGGCAGAAGGAGAGGCTGCAGGCTTATGACGACTGAGGAAGCAGCAGGGGAGGTAGCTATGAAGACTTTGGAGGTGAGAAGCCTGGGACAGCAGAGTATCTTGGGTATCTGTATGTGTTTATCTGTCAATGGGAGAGAGAGAGAGGAGAGACTGCAGGCCTGGGACAAGTCCCTGTGTGGCATCTCCACAGTGAAAAATTTGTTGAGTGTGAACTAAGGCTAACCTCCACTGGCTTGGCTAACATCCAGAAATACGGCAGTGGGGGTTTTTTAAACAGAAATAGAAATATTGTTGTGAGGAGGAACCCAACCTGAACCCCAAACACAGTCTGAGCCACTTCTGTTTCAAGAAGCAGAACTGAACCCGGACCACTATTTCAAAGTCATGTTGAACTGGAACTGAATCTGTATTTGAGTCACAGATGACTGAAAGATTTACTGTGTAGCCCTGTAGTCTTGTAAACACACTGCTGGTAATAAGCTGGAGGCTCTGTATTAAGCTAACCACACAGGCCTCAGGATTGGGGTTATTAGGCTTGCTTGGAGTTTTGTTTAGCTGTAACAGCAATTGTCTAATGACCATGTAACTATTACCGAATTTGTTTTAGTTTTGCTTAATTCTGAATAACTGTGTGCTGTGATGCCTATCATTAATAATTTTGGTACAAGCAGGAATAGCAAGTAGTTACGCTGTACATAGTGAACTAAGTCAGACCCTAAAGTAATGACACACCATAAAGGAGTATCAGAATAGGCTGACAACAGAGACCTTTAAGGCATGAGCATAGCATGATGTTGGTGGTCCTTGGGCTATCAAAAACTCCCCACTGCTCAGTTATTTACAAAAAAATCAAACTTAGGAGCTGAGGAAAAAAAATAGAGGAAACAAAAGGGACAAAGAAAAATATATTTAACATAAATAGTAAAGTCAGAAGTAACACAGATTTTCAGACCAATGTAGAGAAAGCAAGATGCAAAGCATGCTAGAAAACATAAAAATGGCCCTGAGGAAAACCTTGAGCTGAGGAGGAAGAAAGGAAGCATCAACACCATCCACCTCCTCACAAACAAGAGGAAGAAACTCCATTCATTAACATCACAGCCCTGCTCTAAAGACCTCGAGATGATGATTACTTGACAATTCCACCTCTCACCACCAGACTGAAACTGTTGACTTAAGAAAAAAGGAAATGTAAGGGTGAGAAACACTTCAGAGGAAATAGATACTGAGAGAGTTTTTGTACAAGAATTTTTAACTATAGTAGTGTCAAAGAGACTTGTTTTGCATTAACTACTTAGCTTTGACCCTAAGTGTTAGTATCATTGCAGTTGGACTAATAATAATTTTTTGTTGCATTTTGGTTATACAGATGAAGTTCTTAATTAGACAAATTGTTGGCTTCATGCATAAGGTGTGTTCCCCTTCTTGCCCACAACAAGATTTTGAGTGCAACAACTGCTTTGTGTCTTCAGGCATTGTGCAACTTTTTCTAATGCCTTGTCATTAGAAACATTACTGTCAACCCAAGACCTGTTATGACAATGGGATCAACATATTAGCAACTAACAAGAAATTTGATCTTATATGGAATAACTGGATTACCTTAGCTTTTCCTTTGCATCTTTAAAACTTTCAGCAACATAGTAGACAGGTTGGAACTCAGTAACAGGGTACTTCTGCACGGAAGTCTTCTCCAGGACAAGAGGCTGAATCTCAGGCTTATTTGATAAACAATACTATAAGAAAAAGCGTAATAAATTTATTTTGGTTAAAAAAGTGCTTGAATTTGCTATGAAAGAAAGATAGAGCTACTGAATGCCACCTAGTTTCAGACAGGAAAGAGTTGCTCCTGTGGAATACAATGACAATGTCACTTACTAGGAAAGAAGCAGGTATGAGCCCCCTGTGTATGTATACACTGACACAATTATCAGAGCTCTTCAATGAAGTACGACATTTCATGCTACTTCTATGCACAAAGTGTGAAGCAAAAGAAGGATGTAAAGACATTCAGAAGACAAATTTGAGTGATTACAAACATCTTTGAAATATTGTTTTATAGAACACACCTGCAGCTCCCCAAATGAAGACAATAGCCCAGCACCATATGCCTTGAGTGAATCGCCTTCCTTACATAGTCCAAACTCCACTGTAAACCAATAAACCTAGCAGGAAAATTAGACAGAAACATATGATTCCTTGATCAAGAAGAGTAGGTGCACATCATTGATCTGAATACATTTGGAGCTTACGTTTCTATTTGAAATGTTGCTATGTGTCAAATATCAACTGTATAAATACAACAAATGTTCCCGCAGACTAAAATTCTTCACCTGGAAGGGGCACAGTGGTAGGCTCAGTGTGCCTGTGAATCACCATTGTGTTTTACTGTGCTTACTTTTGTTAGCAGAGCAGAGACAATGAAACTATAGCAATAATATTTAATTTTGGCTGGCCAACCCAGTTGAAGTTTGAACCTTAGTTGATAGAAGTTTTTGTCCTGTTTCACACAGAGGGTGTTTAGCTGCAACAGCAAGAGAGGGAACGAGCTGTTAGTGCACTATTGAAGGAAGATGGTGTGTGGCCTAGCTTGACTTCTTGGCCTGTCATTTTGTAGGGATACCTGCTCTGGCTCAGAAGAATTAGCTCATCTGTCAGAAACAGCAAAGATGGTGCAATGCTTTGCCCAGGTGAGCTGGCACTGGAGACACTAATCTCACAGGCATATCCTTGGTTTTGTTTGAATTTTGCAATTCTGGGTCTCAGCAGTCTCAGAGTAGGATTCAGGTGAGGCTCACTGACTGCAGAGGACATTGGCTGCTAGGGGGGGAGAGAAGGGATAGGTGCAGGGAAAAAAGCTAAGAGAAGGGATAGTCGCAGGTAAAACAGCTACTGAAGCCACCTCCTGAAATTTCCTGTGGGGATGTAGTAACATGTAATCTCTTCTTGCCCAATATGTTTGTGCTGGAGGAAATCTTGTCTGGGCTTCTGTGTTTAATCACAACTGTCACTTTGAATAAGGGGTGCCAAAGTTATTTTCCTTTAATGCAACTGTTTCAGGGTGGGGTTTTCCAATCATGGACTTCACTCTGTTCCCATTCAACTCTATGGGAGTTCTATCAGTGACTTCAGTGGCAGCAGAATTAAGACAACACAGGGTGCTTTGGAAAATTGAACCCTCATTTATTAAATTACCGTAGCGAGTTTCTCGATGAAATCATCTGGAGCTCCCAGAGATGCTAGTCCAATTTCCTGTAACAATAAACCATTATTCTTCAAGCTGTTTATTGCAAACATTCTTCCTGTCTTGTCTTATGTAATTTCTCACATTTTAAATGTTACCATAGCTTACTACCACACACAAATGTTTACAGGACATGTTCCTATCGTGCAACATCAATTTTAAACCAGAAATCTCTCCAGAAATGAACAAAGGGTCCTGTCCAAATGTCATTTACAAGGCATGATCCTTTGTGCCTGGTACAAAGCCCACTGAGGTCAAATAAAATTTTCCTCTTGCCTTGACAGGCTTTTGATCAAGTCTACAATGCATGTCCGAGAGAATGATACAGTCAAAAAGAGATAAATTGGTCATACCCGCACACCTTAAATATTTCTCATTGTTTTGATGGGCTCTGATTGCAGGAGCTTTCCTGGAGCCTTGAATGAGTTATTCTTTCTGAATGGCAGGACACAATTTGAAAGAGCTAATGGATACATTCCCGGGAGGCGTGCTATAGCTGGATTCAGAAGACAGCCACAGAAGACTGTATATAACCAGGTACCTTTCTTGGTTTGCTCTTGTAAGGACTGTACAGGGCAAAATCAGAGCCCTGCACACACCCACCCAAGAGCACGGGAGCAGCCATGACCATGTCAAATCCTAATAGGCCAAGGTGCAGTAGGGCTTATCTCAAAGGAAACCCCAGTTCTGGGAAAAAGGCAGAGCCTGAGGGCAATACTGAGTGCTTAATAACTACTTCAAGTTGACTTTTGTCTTGTGAACAGGTGTCCCATCAAGTCCATTTGCCCTCCCTCCCTCCCTTCCTTTCTTCCTTCCTTGTTATTCCACCTTTCTGTCCTCCATCCTTCTTTGTCTCTCTCTTTTTCTTTCTCTTCTTGTCTTTCCTTTTTCCATCCTCCTTCCTTCCTTCTTTCCTTCCTTCCTTCCTTCCTTCCTTCCTTCCTTCCTCTCTTTCTGTCTGTCTATCTTTCTGTCTTTCTGAATTTCTTTCTGCCTTTTCATGTTTTCTGGTAAAATGAAGCCAAGAGTTTACTCCTTCACTGAGGTTTGGCTTCTTTTCCAGAGACATTAACACTACCAAAAGGAAAGCTCCTCTCCAGCCTTCTCCCATGCTTGCAGCTGGGACAGTTCCCCACTTTACTCAACCTCCTCTGTGGCTTCAACAGAAAACAAGAAAAAAATCTTCACTTTCCCTAACATTTGGACTGCAGGGTGGGACAATAATTCATCTGACTCATGAGGCATTTAACTTTGTTCAGAAGGATCAACATCTACAAAAAGGTTTTAAATGATGGTTTCACAAAGGGTTTGCCTGTAAAAAAACAACTCGCACAAGACAGATGTTTGGAGTTCAGGTATATGAGTTCACCTGAATGATTTGTGTCGAGATTTCAAGCAATAAATAAATCAGGCTCAGCCAGTCTTAAACAATATGCTAATAAATACCCCACCCCTCATATCTCTTGGTTCATCCTCTGAGTTACCTAGTCTCTGGTGTGTTCAATTACAAAAAATGTAAAACCACTGAGCATCTTACCTGGGAAAACTGAGCAAAACTGGGATCAGCAAAAAGAGGCACATGTCCTAGCAGCTCATGGCAAATATCACTGCAGGAAAACATGACATCTGAGTAACTTTAGTTTAGGAAAAGTGCAGCAATGCTGGATGAATGCCCTAGAGTCAGTACATAGCCAGATTGCTCCTACCAGCAAAAAATTCTCAAGACTCGTGGGAAAACTTTTTGCTCTAAAATTGTTCTTGGGATGGAAAGGCTTGCACATTTTAGGGTTTTCAGTGCTTTTGTCATCATACATCCCTCAGAGGAAGGATAACACATTATTGTTTTTTCCTTATGGAAGAAAACCATCCATTCAACTGCCCAACCAGCTCAGGAAAGCCCAGAAACAAATCACCCTACTAAAGGGAACATAGACTTCTCAGTCTCAAAGACAATAAATCTCTTTAGATGAAGCTCATGCTACTAAGAAAATTCACCATGGTGTCAATATGCACCACAAGAGTTCAACTCCAATCCATGTTCAGGCCCACACCCTCCCACTGAGAGAGGAAAGCTCTCCCTTACTCAGGTGGGACTGTTTTCACCACAAGTTGAAGTTTGCAGCTGGACAGGCATTTTTGGGGAAGAACTAGCCTACAGACTGCTAGATTTTTTAAAGACAGAGAAGTCATTTGGTGAGATGGAAAGGGGAGAGGGATAAGATTCTCCCAGGAGGGCAAGATCAGTGGAAAATATTTCAGGCTCACTTCATGCACAGTGAAAATGGGGTGAGGAGGAGCAGGGAGGAAAATCAGAAGAATGAGGGACAAAAAAATGGTGAGGAAAAGGAAGTTGTGTGAAGAAGTAGGAATCAAAAAAATGGTAAGGGATAAGAGAAAGAATTGCAACAATATGAACCAGAGGAAGAAAACTTGTTTTACAAATGGCAAGTAGAAAAGGACAACGGACAGGGAAAAGAGAAACATTACAATATTAAACTAAAAAAAAAAAAAAAAGAGAAGGGAACAATGATCTGGGCTTCCTCTATCTTGCTGACAGAAGCTTGCTTGGAACATATTGAGTCATTCCTGCACTAGATTTCACACCACTGTTTGGATGCTAATAGCTAAGCTAAATGCCTGTGTACACTGCTCTCTCACCACCCAGCCACCACACAAGCATGCCTTCGGTAGCAAAACTGTCTGATCAATCCCATAAGAACTTGGAGAAGAGGATGCAGCTTGTTAAAAAGACTAGAAATCCTATGAAAATGTTTTCAGAAGAGAACAGTCGTTTGGCCACTCTCCATTAGCTCTGTTCCCAGGAGTGTCCCAGAGTCCCACATGGTTATTATCAGTTGGGCTGACCCTGCTGTTAGTCTGCTGCAACTTTACACACTTTCTGTGCCAAAGTACTTACGGCTCTGGTGTGTACATGGGTTTGGACGCATGGCGAATATACTGCGTAGAGTGAAATACTCGGAATGCCAGCCCAGCCAAAAAATCCCGAGAGGAGAGCAAGCCTGCAACAGGACGCAGGCGAAATCCAGTGCAGGCTGAGGGGACAAAAAAAAAAAAAAAAAAAGCATCTTAAAACAAGCTAATGTGCTTGATTTATCCTTATCCAAACTCCTCACAGTAGAACAAGTTTGTTTTCTTTGCTCTCCCTCTGTTAAACAGAGTTTAGTTGTAAAAGAGCAGGAAATTTTCTACCCATGTGTACCACCATCACAGTATCTGAGCATCTGTACCATCATACCCCTGGAAGTTTTAGAGAGGGACCTGGGACACAGGCTAAGTGATGTGCCTAAGTGCCACAGGGAGCCTGTGATAAAGCAGGGACTGGTTTTCCACCTCTGGAAGCACTGTCCCCACTGACAGCTGAGGCCTTTCATTTGATTTGGTTTTTTTATATGCTTCAAACTTACACTGCAAGAAATTAGAAACATCTTCAAGCTGGGGAATGTTGTCCTCCTGGTAGCCACAGTATTTCTCCAGCAGTGGGAACACGTGGTTGTGTTCATAACAAGCATGAGTTGGATAGAGGCTCTTCAGCTCCCTGAAGACGGTTCCCCATGTTTTCTTTTCTTCTTCCGTATAGGTGACTCGAGGAATAGGTTGGCCACTGGAAAGAAAATGGATACCCTCCACAGGAGCAACAAAGAAAATGTCCCATACCACCAGCATCATACTCAGGAGCTTTACAAGGGCTGGCCAGGAGCTGCTGGTGCAGGAGGGGAGATGCCTTTGGTCTGATATGCAGGTGCAAAAGGAGCCTCACTTACCCCTAGGCACAAGCTAGGAAAGATTCTACTGACCTCAGCTGAGATACTGGTTTTTAGACAACTCCTCATTATTGTGGTGAAAACAAATTAGTGTTTATTTGCCTTATCAAGATGTTCTTCTAAAAATATTTGCTGGCTGTTGCTTTCAGTTTATTTGCATTTCTTGATATGGAGCAGCTGTTGTATTTCTTGCTCTAACACACATTACATTAACTGTTTTGGTTACAACAGGAAAACCATCAGCTCCAGAAAACTGTTTCTTGGAGAGGCAGAAAAATTTTGATACGTGCTTTACGCTGTAAGAGATGCAGGCTCCAGCCAGTTTGACTTTTTATAATTGTAATGAGTAATTTTGAGTCAAATCCCACCCTCGGGCCTCCATGTGCTTAGCTGATGTTGAAGCTAGCAGGAATTAGATAATCACAAGCAATGTAGTTGGGCCTCCTGTGAACAGTCAGTTCCTTAGCAATAATGATAGGGCCATAGGTGAATCCAGCAGCTTTGAAAAATCAAAGGGTTTTAAGTAACTTAATAGGGTTAACATCACTGCTAGAATAATGCTGGAGCTCTCCAAGGCCCAGAGACCCATTGTTAAACTCTTGATGACACCCCACCATCTCCCACTCCCTCATTTTTTCCTTAAGCCTCAGGGCAGCTCCTTTGGAGCACTATAATTTTCTGTCTCTCTGTATTCATCCTTCCTTGATCTGTGGAGCTTTAGACATCACGTTGCATTATGAGGATTGCTGGAGAATTGTTGATCTTATAGCACTCCTAAGTAATCCTCAGTCACCTTCCAGGGCTACAGGGGGAAGCTATGGCTTAAAACTCTCAAATTTCAATTAAAAAAAAATCAGGGATCAACAGGGCCAGAAGCAAAGGAAGGCAGAGGGAAGAGGTAAGCTAAAAGCAAAGAAAAGAGAAGCCAGGGAAATTAAGCATTTGACAAAAACAACCAGTAAATTCATCAGGAGAGAAGGCAAAAGAGCAAAGGCAGAGGAGAGAGAGAAATAGCAGGAAGAAAGAGCACAAAACAGGTCCAAAAGAAGGGACATAGGAAAGGATGAAATCGATAGCAGGAGGAAGAGTACGAGACAAACAATCACAGACCCACTTCACCTTTGCAGCTGACTTTGCAAGCTAAGCCCATTTGCCTTTCCAGATACTTCCCACGAAGCCTGATAACTTTGGTTGTCCCAAAAACCAAAAATTTGGAGGAATCCTGCCCTGTTCTCTGCATCTCTGTACCCCTATGCTGGAGACACCCCTTTGACCTCTCAGTCCCACTGTAGACCATGAAATGCGTGTCTGGCAGGGATAGCACCCAGGGCACGGACATCACAGATCCACCTGGGCCTTCCTGAATCAATGCCCAAAGTCACAAAACCCACATGCCTTCTATCCACAAGCCCCAGAAGCCCAGACATGGGCTTTCACACCCTGCTTATTGCTCTGTTACTGAAAGACCTTATTGGAAAGGCCAAGAACTTCACATGGAAGGTGTTTTTGGGGCACAAGTCCAGGTCTGTATAGGCTCTGTTTCCAGTGCGCCCGAGGATCTGGATAAAAGGCTAAATATTAGTTAGTTACATCTTGGAATCTAATGGTTTCACCTTCCTAAGATGGTTTCAGTTTGAATCTTGGGGGAGGGGGTGGTTAACGTGTTTTTTATTTCTACATAGAATTTGACAAAAGCCTGAAAACTAGAGACCAGAATCGGCTATCCATTATGCAGGAAAGGTAAATATTCTGTGGGATGCCTATAAATGGGCAGTAGATCCATCCATATCTGGCCACAAAGTTTTATTCAAATTTTCTAGGTATAAACTGGGATCCTGACTTTTTTCACTTTCCATCAGTCAGTCAAATTTTGTCTCTCATTTAGTGACTAGATTATTAGCTCTTTGGTTCAGGGAATATCTTTTCATTGCAGTCCTGAGCAAAGTAGAGCCCTAAATGTGCAATATAGGTTACCTTATCCTTTGCAATCACAATTTTTGCCAGTCTCGCAAAGAATCAGGACCAGTACTACTGATGTAAATGTGTGAGCAGCTCTGGGAACAAAATCTTATCTCCCCCAGATTTGATCACTGAAAGTAACCAAGCAAGGCTGTTCTAACTGAATTTATCATCTCTATTCATTCACTTTTCTTGGGAAATGAGAGCCCAAATTGCCGACTGCAGCTGGGTCAGACATGATAAAAGTAGAGTAAGAGGCACTGGATTAGCATCAGAACCATAAGTTATTCATTATTTTAATAGTGTATGCAGCTCCTGCTTTAATGTTAATGATAGGCACTCCTCCCCCAGCCCTGGTTTAATGGGGAGAATACCAGAAGCGGCTTTATTCAATGCTCAAGTCTTTGTAGTAGCAATGGAGTCTGCTGCTCAATTAGACAACAAAGCCAGGGAACAGGGGTGTTGTGGGGAACAGGGAGGTGATGTTCTCTTCTGAACGTGTGCCTGGAACAATTTACTTTTCTTTTACTGTGGTCTGGGGATAAATGCATGAACAGGAAGATTTAAACACATTGCAGAGAAAAGCCAACAGCAGAAGGATGCTTATGGAAAAACAGGGATTGCAAGTAGGGTGAGAGCCCTAGGACAGGGCAGGAGATGTGGGCTTGCTTTCTGCCCACACACTGAGCACTCACTGTCTATAATTGTAGGCAATATCCGCAAACTCCTTCCTCCGGGCCCGGTACACAGGATCTTTGAACCCCTAAAGAGAAACAGTGATGGTCAGTCCCTACAGAAGTGCAGGTGGTGAACAGTCTTCCTCTCACTGAGCACCTCAGGCATAGCTGGTGCAGTTCAAGAAGTGCCCGAGGGTGAGTGGGGGAAGCTGCCTTCACCCTGTCTGGCTCCACTGAGCCCTGCTTGCACAGGGCTTTGCTCCTTCCCAGTCCGCACGGCCACCAGAGCAGCCATCCAGCCACAGGCTCCCCAGCCCCTCTAGCCCCCAAAGTCTTTTCATTGTCTCATTTCTACTTGCTACAAAAAAGGGAAACATGCTCCTTTGCAGTGCCAACAAGGTGCTCCTGTGAGAGCAATCCACCTCACTAACAGCACTCAGAGAACCATGTCCTTCTGGTTTCTCAGGAAGCTTGTTGCAGTTCCTAGTTCAGCCGGGCTGGTCCAGAGGAGCAGGGTTAAACTATATTAGAAACACACCCATCAACTCAGTCAGACTTTTTAGGCGGGTTTTCATCACACTTAAAAGCCCTCATTTTCAAACTGTTAGAAGAACAGTAGGCACTTAGGAGGCCAAAAAAAGCCCTATCTGCACTACAAATTCAACCATTTGAAGAGATTTATTTACTACAGAGAATGTCTAATAGACCTTGTGGTTGGGAGCTTGACCAGCTTGACCTTTACAGCTAATTACCAATAAAACCAGGGATAAGAAATATGATCTCTAAATCTTCATCTAGGACAACCTATCCCAGTGTGCCTGCTATTTAGACTAAATGTTCCTCAGGGATAGGAGTGTCTTCACCACCTAAAGTGGATAAATGTCTTTCCAAGCTAGGACATACTTCTTCAGGGCAAACATCAACAACTCACTGGGCACTGCCACAGTTCATGAATGCATCTCTCAGTGGTGCATGGCACAACTGGATTGAGAGGCCACAAAACATGACCAGGTATAGGGGACAGCTGAAGCAGAGTGAAAATCTAAGAGTGTGAGTCAAAAAGAGGCAGCTAATGGCCTGAAAAATGCACAGAAGTATTTGTGATTAAATCCCATATCACTTAACTACTAAAAACACAGGCTCCTTTAATTTCTCTTTTTCTGTATTCTAAGTGCTGTCACATCTACTTACCCCAGCAGCTGGGTTTCCTTTTTAAGGTATAAACTGCTCACTAACCAATTCTAGGAACTGGAGCAGAGATGCTTCATTTCTTTTAATATCTTTTTTTGTTTGTTTCCTTTTTCAAATACAATCTTGGTCTATTCCCACATGACACACAAGGGGGCCATTGACTCAGTGTATCTCCTTTCATTCTGCCTTTCACGTAACCACACTGAACATCATGAATCATTGTACATGATACATAACACATCTCAAATTAAGCAATAGGTAGTGAATGACTAATCACCCCATCTCAATTAAACTAATAGCAGCAATTTTTGTTGCGCTGCTTGTAATTTATCTATAATCACCCTATCTCAATTAAACTAATAGCAGCAATTTCTATTGCGCTGCATGGAACTCAGTGTGTTTTGACAAATGAAAATAAGTTGTTGTTTGCTTGGAGAGGGGATAGAGGCAGAAAGTATTCTTGTATCTGGAAGAGCTGAAAAACCACTGAATAATTTTTTTAATCACCTAAGCCCATGAACAACACTTTCTGACTCCACCGTTTAAACCACAAACTTTTTGAAACTGAGACCTTTCCTTTTGTTCTGTCTCATCATACAAAAATCATGTCAGATTTAACAACCATATAACAAGGCATTAAGCTCAGATGTATGTGATTAAGGATGAAAAAAACAGTCTTCCTATGTCTGGACTATGATATGCTGCTTCTAAATTTTTTGTTGCTAGTGATTCACAAAATGGATCTGAAGTCACCATATCAGGAGCCACCTGGGAAAACCAGAGATGCCTCTGTGGTGGCTCTGTGCTCTGACAACTACTATGAATTTTAAGGTTTCCTGGTATTTGCTCAAATTAAAGCAACCTTTTGTCTGATTTACTTCATACCAGGTATTGGGCTGATCCTAACCCCAGAAATGTGGTACCCTTCTTGTCCTAAACCACATGAGACTTAGTTTACTAGATTTGTCTTAAAGTAGAGGAAATATAAATGAGAGGAACATCTGTCCCAATAACTAGAAACTTGTTAAAAAAAAAAAAAAAGCTCTCTTTCTTACAGGATGGTCGGCATCCAGTTCTGCTCCATAGCTTAGGATCTGATTGGCAAACCTGTCCAGCTCCTGGATACTTCTTGGGAACCATGGCACTGCAAAACAGAAAAGAAATAGAGACTGGTTTGCTTCTTTGTTACTTGGTTGGGGGCCATCCTCTGGTCTTTCCATTTTTTCATCATAAATATAAAGAAACATACACAAGAGGCTAAATTCTTTGGGCAGCAGTGACCTTTGCCTGTAGTAGGAGGCAAGAGCAAACCCTGCAAATTGTATTGAATTTGTGGCTGGTTTGCACTGCTGGAAGAATACAGAGCATCAGGAATGTCTAGCACTTGGCACAGAGCTGACTTGTAATGTTTATGATTTTCTGTTTGTTATTCTGGTTTCTTGGTTTACCAAAATGTAGGAATTTTTCCAGAGTATCCTTCCTTTCACAGTAGCTAGAATCAGACATTTCAAAGAAACAGCAAGAAACCTCACAGCAGGAAGGATACAGGACTATTTGACCCTCTGAAAATCTCTCTCTAAAACTTGGTGGCCTCACTTAAGCTAGGATGCTGAAATAAAATGATAAATGGCACCCTAATACCTCAGACTACCATATAATGACTACTGCAGTCATACAATATTGAATTAATTTAACTAACATTCTGGGCCTGGTTCTCTGTTGCCTTGTAACTCACATACTATACACGTTTCTTATGTCACAGCCAGGATATGAAATGGGACCACATCAACTACACAGCATGTAACGCCCCTGTGGCCCTCCCTTTACAGAAGTACATAAGGTGGAGGGCACAGAAGAATCACAGGGCTTTCCAGATGTGACGTGTTCAGATAGGGGAAAGCAGAGGGAAATCGTCTTCATGGCAATTGCACTACAAGGAAAGGCTCTTTGCAGCTCATGAGGTACATGGAACAGTCATTCCAGGTCAGACCGCCTTCCTGGAGCAGTGGGCACAGGTGAAGTCACCCAGAGGTCTAGGCAGTCCCCTGGCATGTGTCCCTCCACCAGTGAGAAGTCTGGCACATACGTGCAGTGGCTGTACCAGGCTGCAGCCTCCTCTTCCATCTCCTCCAGCAGGATCCACCTGCATACCAAACCAGGGACCCCCTTGTCAACCACCATGGGGCCTGGCCACCCCAGCCCCCTGCAACACTGAGACAGGGAAGCTCGATGGAGGGAGCAGAGGGACCATGGGTCCTGCCTTGTCTCATCATCGCTTTGGGAGCCATATATGTAGGTAACACCACTAGTTACCACTGGCAGCTGGGCACATCTGTGCCAGGGCTGCTGGATTCTGTTTACCTGGCTTTCCCTTCTGCTGCCCCTTTCTTACATTTTTTGGCCCTTTGACCCTAGCTGCCTGCCTCTTTTCTTTTTTCTTTCCCTTCCCTTCTGCCTGAGTCAGACGTTACAGCCATACCTCAAGTTAATAGCCTCTGATTAACTTCTCTTCACAAATACACTAATTGCTCTTTGAGCACATGTACATTTCTGTCTCCAGGACACTCTGCAGGACTGACCTCTATCATTTCTTTACATGCGATATTAAAAAGCCCCTCCTTTTTGTTTTAAACTTTATTATTTCATATGATGTTAATTAGTTCCTGTATACAGGCATCATTTGTCCTTATTCACCTTCTCCAGGCCACCTAGGATTTTATAGCTCCCTGGCAGATCCTCCACCTATCATCCAACATCCTGGCTGAGACCTTGCTTTTGTATTTCAGGCACAGAAACCGTGGGCTATCTTTGAGCACTCTCATCACTTCTCTCTGCACCACTTCCAGTTCTATCACACCTTTTCTGAGGAAAGGGCACAAGTTCTCCACCTAAGGATGTACCTCATGCTCAGGCCCTGCAATCATGTTCTATATGCTGCCCACACTGAGTACAAGTCAGTACTCCAAGGCTAATATCACCCAAAGGTCTGCTGGTCCAAGCCCAGGGTCTTTGAGGAGCTGATCAATAAAATGTTGCAGTTCATTTAGTGACTTTCTTGCACAAATGGGTGTCACTTGCTCAGTCAGTGCTTGGAAAACAGCTCATTCCTCTGTGTGGCTCTCTGCTCAGCTGGAAGCACTGTCACTCAGCCATACCTCCCCATTTGATTTTGGGTTTTGTGCCAGGTGAATCTAATCCCCAGCCAGCAGCTGCTGCATGAGCGCCCTGCAGTGCCTTGCTGATGGGGCTCATCCAGGACCTGCATGGACCACCTACAGGATAAGAGGATCGCTCTGTTTCCAGGACTATTCAGCCTTGCTCTCTGCTGAGCCTAACAACACATAGAGCACCTGTGGTGCTGGTTTTCTGTGCGGCACCTGCACAGAGGGGCCAGCACAACAACAGCAGATTTACAGGGCACGCTTTGGATGACCACAGTTCAGCCCCATGCAAGAGCGTTCACTCCCCCTGACCTGCTGTCCCACCACCAGCCTGGATCCGTCCAATGGTCCTGCTGGGAGCCCTCAGATTTGTTTCAGGCAGGCCAGGAAAAGCAGGCAGCCAGGGGCTGCCAGCCAGGGGAGGTCCCGGGTTCCCCGGGCTGCAGAGACCCAGCCAACCTGCCCCGCAGAGCTCCCAGCTGTGCCACCCCTTCTCCTGCCCAGCAGCAGTAGGTTTTGGTCCCCTCCTTTCCCAGCTGCATACCCTTTTGCTTTGCCCTAAAAACCAGATCTGAACAAGGCACTAGATGGCAGCAGCAGTCCCAGGAAGATCTTCCCAAAATGACTTTATTTGCTGGATGTACCGCTAGCTCTCTAGTTCCTCCAGAAATACTTTCTTACCATGCTGCTAACAACCTTCGTGCACCTCCAGCCCTTTGAGTTAAACCAGTCG